AGAGAGAGAGAGAGAGAGAGAGAGAATTAAAACTGCTCAGAGTTAAGAGACAGGAGATTTTGTCAAATTTAAGTGAGATTTGAAGGAATTGAGTCAGCTTTCGAGATATTAATCTTACTCAAAGATTTATGAGAGCAGGAAGACAGAGTGGCCGGGTGTGGCACTTTGCACACGCCCTCTGCCCCCCTTGTTACATTCTATTCACACGATGCAAATTTTATGTCGCTGTGACAGAGAGGAATAGAGAAAGGCGGGCTGCCTACCTCCCTGTGGTCCTGTTCCAAAGAAGGAGCTGTGACAAGCTGGCAGCGGGGGCAACCACTTTGATGTGTGACAATAAATCTCTGGCAGTTGCACGTCGAATGCCCGAAAATCAAACTCTTTTAAGTACGTTCGTACTGAGTGACACCTTCAGTGTGTACCTGTCACGTGGTTTAACGAATGATGAACTCCATGACCTGTGCTCGCCTCTCCGGGTAGTACCAGGTGATCATTCGAGGGCTACAAATGGCGGGCCGCGTACCAAACATGATGGGAGATTAGGAATGCGACAAGTATTTTGGTTGGAGAAGTCGAAGGAAAGAGACCTCCCGGAAAACCTAGAATCAGATGGACTGATAATATTAAAATTTATCTAAAGGAAGTAGAGTCAGAGTCTTAGCGGTGCCCCACGCGAGGAGCACTCATAACAATCTTCTTCTGAATAAACTTATCAAAGGTGAATATATATCGCTTTTCCATTATATAAATGCCCGTTCTGTTCCAGCAGCGGACCAAGAATTTGAGCAGATTGGAAGGACGGATTTTGTGTAAGATAACCAAGACCATTTAATTGAGCGAACGAGACCAAGAAACACTGATATGGAAGTATTAAATAATTAATTATACTTAAGCTCATGTAAGAAAAATGTTCTGCTCGAAGCACTGTGGAATATCAAACGAATAATTATTCTTGTAATGACTCTTTATGAGAAACTGCAGCTGAGATGTACGATGCCGAAATTTATAAAATTAACTTAGAAATCAGCTTCCGGAGTGCCTCCTTAATATCCCGTTTCTCGAGTTCTCAGAAGCTCTGTTAGGCGCTACCGGGAGGGGAGGTCTACAAATGAACGCAGGAAGAGCAAACGTGTGACAACGTTCGTTCAATTGCACGAAAAAAATAATTAAATTTATCTGGGTTTAAATATGTAAGAAAGGCTGTTACAAGTACAAATTAAAAGCAAGACAAAATTGAGAAACGCAGCTCAGAATTCTTTGTCTTTCCGTCTGATATATATATATATCGAATCGAAAATATCAAAGCACAGTACACAAAAATAATGATTTTTGCCCGCTGTTTTGTATGGGTGCGATATTCGGTCTCTCAAAGGCTGGGCGTGTGTGAGTAGAGGACCGAGAGAAAGCATTTTGAACGCAAGAGGGACGAAGTGATATGGAGCTACAGTAAACTAAATGGTGACGAATCCATGGTTCGTACCTTTCACCAAGAATTATTGGAATGATCAAATCGAGGTGGAGATGGGCGGACATGCAGCGCCCGTGGGGGACGTGAGAAATGTCTACAATATTTTTAGGGCGTGTCTGAATGAGATATTCCACTTGGAAGACCAAGGATGACAGTCTTCAGTGTCTCAGAGCAAAAAGCATCGAATAAGAGTGCGAATATTACGTGTTCCTTGTCTGGGGATTTGCTGTACGTGTCTCCTTTGTGTTTCAGCTCGATGGCCCACGTGCTGAGGTCCCTGGACCTTAGTTACAACGAGCTGAACGAGGTGCCGTTCCACGCTCTGAAGCCGCTAACGTCTTTGGATTGGCTCAACTTCCACAGGTAACTAATTACCTGTTAACTCTCTTACCCGCAGTCTAACACGTCATCGTTACTGTGGCTGCATTCCATGCTTCAGAGGAATTAGACTCACGGGTTAGGTTAGTCGTTCTTCCAGTCGGATTTTTTTTACAGTGCATCATGCACCAAGTAACACCGACTAACCAGTTACAGATCATGAAAACCCAAAATTTTATAAGGTCTTTATGTCATTTTCATTTTTTCTCTCTTCAAAAAAATAGTGTTTCTAAGACGGTGAAACATGAAAAATGATGGTCTAATGTAAATCGAATATTTCGATAAAGAACATCATTTAATATTTTAAAATATTTTAAATGTTAATTATTGTAATATTTTAATATTTAATAAGAATTTATTGTGATTAGACGGACATGATTTAATATATACATAATCTATAAAATAGTGTTTATAAATACGTGCACACATTTAGAGTGTTTATCTTACACAGAATGGTGCTATTTCTTCAAACCTCACGAGATCACGTGATTGCCACGCTGGTAATGTTAATGTCAAAGTTCTAGAACGTAAAATGTAAAGACGACTCCAATTACATCGCCATACCAATCTTGATTTTAATGGCGAACATGTGTGGCTCTTATCTGTCAGCAAATGAATCGGAGATGGATTTTGTCACTCGGTGGGGGATCAGTCGCAATGTTCACTATCATCACACGATGCTATATTACCCCCACAATACGTACAACACGTATCGTTTACCGACGTGTTTTTGATAAAGTCAAAATTTCATTCACGAGGTTAAAAGCAGACTCTGCTCGGCTAGTCAAAAACCCTCCATTTTCCCTCTCAGGAACCAAAACATTTGAATGTGCACAAATATATTTCCGTTGGTTTATATATGTGCTGGAAGCTTGGTCAACAACTTTAAGGCAGTTTACTCAAGTAGCATGGGGGTTTTAAAATGCAATTAGAATCATACTTAGAAGTCACATATGGAAGTTGGATTTGGGAGAATTTTGTTCACGCGGACTTAGCAGTACCCTTCCCGATCCGGTAGCATGGCGTGTCACGCGATGTTTTACATTTTTTATTTCTCAAAAATGCGGACCTTCGTCGCGGTCAAAACTTTCTCGACACGAGAGATCAAAAGAGGTCAAAGGATATGCTATTCTGTTAGAACATCCTTTAAGGGGAACGCAAAAACTGTGAGAAGGTGATTCTCTTTTGGTGAACTCTGAAGTTAAAACTTCAGGGCCAGCTGTTCAGTATCCCCTGCAGTCAAAGGAAGTTCCGAAGCTGCGGAGTAAAGAGGGATTCGTGTGTTTCGATTTCAAAGCATCGCCGTTTGCCATGGCCTTATTAGCATATCCAAGCTGTCGTAAATTATGAAAGCGACGACGAACGTCGAGTTCGATGTCTCGATCGAAAACTCTGCCGAGTTAAACGCCCCTCTGAATTGTTTTAAACTATGAAGAGTTCTGGAGAGAAACAAAATTATGTGAGCTATATTTATGTTGCACAGATATCGAGTCCCACAAATATCGTGTTGATGATGTTAGGTTTGTGTGACGAAAGTTTATAATCCAAAAATAAAATTAAGCTTGACTCCCGGGATACATCGCCTGGCCACCAACCAATTTCTTTTGCAACTCAGAATGTATAATTAATTTATTATTTCCTGTTGTGAGTAATAACAACATGGACTTGCGAATTTATGTGCTGGGAGGGACACTTAAAATAGGGCCTGGAATAATATTGATAATAGATATTCATAAAATATTCTGCATGTATTTAAGACATTTCACTGTAGATTATAAAACAGTAACATGAATATGGTTGGTCTTCTGGAGTCTTGCGCCGTGATTTGTGATAGGCGTTTCGGCAACGTGGGTAAAATTAAACCAGACTAAACGGCGCTACATCCCGTAGAACAGCCATCTTCGTATCTACAGCTGTGATAGTAGAAAGACGTGTCAAGAACTGGATGAGTGGGGCTCTACCGCAGTGCAGGAATGACAAGTAATTTCTCCGCCACTGCTCTTATACACTGGGGCTCAAGGATACATCGGTCGAAGCGTCAAGTTTATCGCACATCTTTGTCTACCATCATGGAAATTTATCCCCGACTTCACACGTTTTCACTGTATAGTGCTTACGTTCAATAACACCTTAATCGTACCTAACATAACCTAACCTAACCCAATCCAACCCAACCCAACCTAACCCAACCAAACCTAACCCAACCAAACCTAAAACAACCTAACCTAACCCAACAAAACCTAACCCAACCTAAAACAACCTAACCTAACCCAACAAAACCTAACCCCTAACCTAACCCAACCCAACAAAACCTAACCCAACCTAAAACAACCTAACCTAACCCAACAAAACCTAACCCAACCTAAAACAACCTAACCTAACCCAACCTAATCTAACCCAACCTAACCAAACCTAACCCAACCAAACCTAACCCAACCCAACCCAACCTAAACTAAAACAACCTAACCTAACCTAACCTAACCTTGCACGTTTACGTGCTTTCAAGGCATTTGTACGCCTGCTTGTTCGGACAATAAGACTTTTACACCGAATTCTTAACGTAGCTAAAATGAGACTGATGGGTATGTGTTTTAAACGTCATTGGTTGTGATAAAGAGCTTTACTGTAGTATAGGCATAACTCGTCCCAAAATCACAAAACACCAACTGTTGTTCGCATTATCTGGCTATTTATCATGATACCTTATTGCTATATATACATACATAATACCCATTACCCTACCGAGTCTTGTGGCTGACGCTAACTTCCTTATCCTGAGAACGTCGTGCCTCAACACTGCTGTCGTGGTAAGCCTGGCGGCGACAGGCACAATTCTGAAGCATAAAGCGGATCGTTTTGTGGCGACCGCTGTAAAGATCGGTCCCAGCCTGGCATTGGTGATTAAACGTTGCTGAGTAACAGAGCTCATTAGATGCCAAAGTAAGTTAATTACGCCAGAATCGTGTGTTGTAATTGTAAATGAAACTGTGGGTATGCATATTCGCGCGTAGCTCGAGAAGAGAAATGTTGATTTGTCCCAAACCCGGCATGCTTATTACATGGAATCACGAAGAGACTCCGAAAAGTGTCCTTTGTTTAAGTCCCGGTGAGAATGTTTTCTTGCTCGGAGACTACACGATAGAATAATGACTAATACAAGACTGTTTATTTCGGCGGAACGAAAGTCACACCCCGAAAAATATCTCGAGCATGAATTCCAGTCTGATTTATGAATAATAATAATAATAATGACAGGATTTGAATCTTTCACGGTGACTGAACATCATAATTCTTTGCTACATTTTCCTGTCATATTCAATGATACGAGCCGATTTATCGGACCTGTGAGCAGTTCTGTGGCAATAAATAATCGGCCGAGATACTCTGTTGGTACAATATGCATCCCGAATAAGACAATTATTAAATTCGCTGAATATTAGTTGTACGACCGGGTCAGATTCACTGGACTGTAGGATAATATTCTTCTGCATGCGGTCAAGCCCGGTACTGACACCTTTTAAATACGCAGTGTGTACGGGAAGTGATTTTCCCGAGAGTCAATCTGTCGGAACAGTTTTGGCAAGTCTAGAAAACGATCGGGCTGGCTAGCGGTGTTTCGCGCATGCGTGCTGTGCGATCTTGTCACAGATCAGCCGAGGCCGGTCTCAACACTCGCCTCATTTATCGAACAGAACTTGGCGTTACGAAAATTTTAAACTAAGCGTCAGAATTTACTGATTATTTGTGATTGGTTAAACGACTATTCTAGGAGATCGAAGTTGGTTGAACCAGCGAGGGCGGGGCGAAATTGAAGTCAAGTCATCCGGTTATTTTAGTGATAGACACATTCGTCCATACACGCCCCTGATGCAAAGAAAATCATGCATGAGACCCAAACGTCATACTAAAATTAATTTAAATTTTGTAGTCAACTTTAATAGTGAGTAAGGTTGTTCACGTGTATTGCACGGTGTCCCAAAAATATTTATACACAGCATCAACTTTGGTGGTCACTTGTCAGTCAGTTGACCAGCCCTGTCACCTGTGCCACGAAGTTGACGGTGGTGATTTATTAAGTGCCAATGCTGACGTATGCAATGGTTTTGTTTATTAAAATGTCTAAATTTAATTCGTTTAATGTGTGTATCCATCTTTTTGGGTCACTCTGAATAAGCAGGTTGAAGTTCAGTGGACACATACTCCTGTCTTGCACGCAACATTATCACAGTTTCCACCGCGTCCTCCGATGTGCGTGGAGCGACTTGGATACGTCAGTCAGGAAAACTTTTGTGTGGAAATTAACAGCTGTATCGCCTTTTTCTCTTTTCGTGCATAATGAAAACACAAAAGCCCTGTTACTCGCTAGTAAGCAGATCGGCGCAGATGTAAGTCTGTTAATAAACACTGTGTCAAAGTTCAAATATCTGGGCAACATCGAATCGCATTAATTAAAAAAACAATGAGCCCACTGAACTCGATAGATTCTTTCTACCACTGAGTGCGGACTCCTCTGCTCTATTGGGTTATCAGTTCACGACTCAAAACAAAATAAGGTCTCAATTTATGTAAGTGAAATTTCGGTACGATTCAAAAAATATTAAGGTCTTCGGTGACGTAGCTCGAGAAAAACAGTAGATCTACTTAAAATTGTCAAGAATAACATCTATTCCCTCTAGGAATGTGACAGTTTCTTCACGAAACCAATGTTATGTTGGACAACCATCACGGGTTCTATAAAGTTTGCCTACTTATTTATGATCTCGCTACTTTTCCGATATTCGGTATTACCACATTTCAGGTCTATATGCAATGTCCTGTAAGTATGGGACCGTAGGAAAAAACTATTTTTTACAAAACACTAAAACATACAGAGACGAAAATGTTAATGCAAATCATGTGTTTGCGATATCAAGTGTTATAAAATTTGAAGAGTTAGAAATGAAACTGTTAATTACGTAAAACACGAAAGTGGGAAAACGATAATGACACAATTTTTATTTTATTTTTTGTGTATTTTATATTTTATTGGAGTCAGTCCATGCGCGATTATTATTCGATGAACAAGAAGCATACTCCAGTTTTGATCTAATTAAAGCGACATGGAAATCAGCGTTACTATAACGAATAATCCCTAATGTACAGTGAAGCTACCTGAAGCGAGGAAATTATCGTTACTATAACGAATAATCCCTAATGTCTATAGTGTATGAGAATAAATAAAATAAAAATGTCAATGAAAATACATTTTACTACGTAACATAACAAAACGATTTGTTTTTCAGTGAGAAATCATAATTAAAACATAATTGACACAGTAATTAAAATGGACACTGTTTTCCGTCATAATAATAATAATGTTCGCGAGGCATTACATATAAATACAGTGAGAGTGCGATTTCGTATGAACTTGTGAAATATATCATTATATGCATTAAAATCACGCCTATGTTTCAAGCTTTTATAAACACTGAATTTCCAGTAAAAATGAATATTTGTTAAAAGAAAGTATCCATTAACGTCAGCATTGTGCGTACAAAATGGCGAACTCATTTATTCAGAGCTACGTTTTCCGGGAATAATGCGTAATATTCAGATTATGCGTGTACGCGACTCTCATTCCTACGCACAGACCTCGTTAATTTTATTCATGATCTGATCGCACTGGGCATTACGTCACTCTTAAGCGCATTTCTGTCCTAATTTCTGTTACGTGTTTGGTCTGTGTTTGAACGAAAAAGCTTTTACGAGGTGCGATCGGAAAGTTTCAGACTGCGCCTATAAAAACCCGTACACTTATCTCAGGTATTAAATTCATCCATCACCCTCGAAGTAGTTCCCCTGGGAGTGAACACA